GTAGTAGTAGTAGTAGTAGTACAGCATAGTACAGCCTCCACGGCTCGGGATAGGTTCCTGTTCGTAAGTCGTAAGTATTCCTGCAGCAACAGTCGGGCCATGTGTTTCTAAAGGGACTTGGGGAACTTTTCTGGATCTCGTTTGGATGTAGTTTGAATCTCGTTTGCAACAAGCCGCCTACCACAGAATTTGTTCGCAAGCGAAGCACGCAACAAAGGACAGCAAGATGACATCAAACCGCCGATATATGTGTGTCGAAAATGCCAGCTCCAGCCGCGACCATCAATGTATATAGCATGATGGCCTTTTTGTGCGGCGCCTATCTCGTTACCCGATTAGACGTGCGTGTTGATGCAAACCATGACCTGTCGCTATCATACGTGACGTAGCATTTAACGTGCACATAGCTGTCATGAAACGACTCTGAGCTTTTGGGTCGCAGAGAGGACATCAGTGCCGTTTACGAGATGGAGTCCGAGACTTGCGACACCCAGGCCGGTCACCCTGAGGCCTGTCCGTTCCGGAATTTCGGTGATGTCGGGCGACCCGGTGTGCCTCATGGGTTTTGAGTTTTGACACAGAAGTGGTCCAGGCGTTTACGCAAGCCTACACCGAGAATGTCTTGAGTGGCAAGAACAAGCTGATGTGGCTGCAGCTTTTCTTGCACTTCGCCGATGTCTCCAATCCTTTGCACCTAAACGGCACAAGTGCTTACCCAGTAGAGTCCGGCCTGATTTGCGGCCGACTTCCGAGGAAGCCTTTCCACATTTGCCGTGCTTGGGCTTGGCGCGTCCTGGACGAGTTCTTCGAGCAGGGCGACGAGGAGAACGGCGATCACCCCTGCTGTTGGAAGTTGCGTCGTGTTGCTTGCAGGAGAGCAAGCTTGGAATCCCAATCGGGATGTTAAACGACAGGGAGAAGGCGCATAATAGTGGCAAGTTTGTGCCTGATGCACAGGAACGCAGCTTCAGCCGCTGCAGGTGAACCGACCTGGTTCACAGCATGGTTTCATCAACTTTCTTGTGGCTCCTTTCGTCGCAGCGAGCGCTTCTAAGCAGCAACACTTTACAGATACTTTACAGTCTGCCTGAATTTTGCTGTCCTGGGCGACGCACAGGTGAGAGTTTTTCCTGGCCTCCATCCTCTGCACACACAAATGGTAAAGAACGTGGAGGCACCACCCTCGCTCGGATCGCTCAGGCGCTCAGGGATTGAAATTTCGCGCCAGGAGTGGCGGAACCTCTGGATAAAGGTCCGGATCGCAGCGAACTTGAAGGTTGTGGTTCGTGCTGTGACTCAGCATTGACATCAAGCACAGGATGCCAAGCCGGGCGAGGAAGATATCGCCAAGAAGGATGCAGATGTTCGGATCATAGCATTGGTTTGACTTACATGAGGCTTCCGGTTGAGGTGGCTGCGTAGCTGGTCATTCGGCCAAGGTGAGTCGTTTGAAGGCACTCGATGCCGAGTTAACGTCGCGAAACAGAGCACCTGGCGCTCCAAAGATGACGCCTCGTGTCACGTAATGGCCGGGAAGCTCAGCTATCACAAGGCTTGGCTCTGACGAAGAGTGCTTAGCTCAGGCACAAAAGCTTCTACCTGAGAGGGCATCCCGTTCAGCGGCATGCCTTACAGGGAGACGGGAAGCAGCTTTCAAGATTGCGAGCACCTCAAGCGGATAGATTCTTGGAGCATGTGCCGATTGTTGGCACACCTAGAGCATTGGTGAAGCTTTGCTTCAACAAGGGACATGCTCCGAGAAACTTTCGCAACTGTCGCAGCGGCGGAGCTCGCAGAACAAGTGGATCCTGCAGCATACCTGCAAGGTCTGTCGTGCATAGGTGTCCTCAGTCGCACTCCTTGGTACAAGCCAAGTGCGTGATGCCACTGGGCAGAGACACGTGCGTGGAATTTGGAACAAAATGTGGCAAGCATCGGTTGTGCCATGGTTGTGATGCACAGCTCCCCCTCGCTTTCTTCACTGCGCAGTTGCAGCTTCTAAGCGGTCAGACATGAAGCGGTAGTCGGCCTTATGCCCCTGCTCCGGCATCGGCATTTTCGTGTAGAGATTTGGTCGAGGAGCCATGTCGCGGTGGCTTGTATGCACGCAGGAATTTTAGGCCCCCTGCAGTGCCTTGGGAGCCGGTGCTGTTGAAGTTCGTGTGTGGGGAGCTTGCTCATCTCAGGCTTCGCTTGCTGCCGCTCCTGCTCTTGTTGCTCTTGGTCGGTCAGGAACAGGCGGAACAGGCTGAGTCACTCGAAGGGAAGGAGAAGACTGAGAAGACAGAAGCGCTGCAAAGCCGCGTCGCGACGCTGGAAAAGGAGATCTCCTTCTTGAACCGGATCTCAGAGCTAGAAGCCGAGATGCAGGGCTTGCGCAAGCAGCTGGCGGACTGCGAGCGATCGTGGGACACGTCCTCTAAAGCTGCAAACACACGGACCTCGTCTGAATACACTGTGTTCAGTGTTGCGGCCGCTTTGACCAACGACTTGGCCAGTGCAGTGTTGCCGATGGTGTTGGGCATCCTAGCTTACGTTTCTGCGACCACTGGCTTTGCTCGTGATGAGAAGTTGAAGAAAGCTCGCCACAGCTGCAGCTCGACGGATGGAGAACCCTTTGCTGCACATGCTTTGAGCAGCTCCTCCGGGGAAAAAGTCCAACCGAAGCGCCGGGGAGGCGATTCGCCTACGGCGAAGTCACCGATGGCTGGGGAAGAGGAGGCTATTGGAACGTTACCTGATCCGGATCCTCCAGATCCTTGTGACCATGACGTTCCTGATGTTCCTTGCCAGAACGTCTCCAAGGAGGAAGTTCCTGCAGCCAGTCTACTGCCGGAGTCGGATGAGCCCCCACCGGAGCAAGCAGAAGACGTGAGATGCTACCTCAGTCTCAGTGAGGTCCCTCCGGGGCTTCCACCACCGTTTCGCCCGCCTCCCGGGCTAACAAGAGTGGAGCCGCTGCCAGTGTTTCAACTGGACTTGAACAGGGCGCAGGATGTGGCAGAAATGGTGGTGGTCGATGGCGATTCTTACCCGCCCGACGCACCTCTCAACATGGCGCCCGGGCCCGGCAGCCTGCAGAGCTTGCAGAGCCTGGGGGAAGGTGAGGACGAAGAGGACGTGAACATGGAAATAGCTGCCTGTCACGAGCATTCTCGGCAGGATGGCCATGAGCCAGAGCAGCCGCAAATCACACCAAATGCCCATGAAGATGAAGTATGGCCGGAAGCTGAGGAAGACGACAGAGAGGATGGCGAGGAGGAGGAGGATGAGGAGGAGGAGACAGAGGAGAGATCAGAGCCTGAAGAGCAGGCAACGAAACTCCCCGAAGAACAGGTCGAGGAGAACGATCTCAACCAGCTGGCAGATCACAAGAATCACAATTCCAGCGGGACGAATGGAAACGTAGGCCACAAGAGGCCCAAGAAGAAGCACGGCAGTGCGGAGGCTTGCAAGGAGAGAGGACGGCGTGCAAAACAGAAGCGGCCGGAAAGGGATTCATCAGATCCAAAATCCAAAGCAAAAAGGAGGTCTGCTAGCCCTAGTCAGCCTGATCTGGAGCAGCGGCAGTGTCGATCAAACATCGTGCTCCTTGCTCTGGCAGTTGCCGTGATAGCTGGCATTGGTTACAAAGCCCCTCTGTCGCACTTCGTAGCTGCTGCATTTCAGCACTTCCCTGCGTTGTGACCCAAGAGTACTTCCGCCCCAACTCAGTTCAGGCACGCACGATTTTACTGTTCAAATCACCGGCCCAGGTGATTGGGGTCTTTCCGGCACGTCAAAGCAACTTCTCGTCCTTCATGGAGGAGTCCCTACCGGAGCACTGTACGAGCGAAATACCAGGTCATGTCGTAGTGATGGGCCCGGAGTACAAGCTCCCAAAAAAGATTGTGGAAACAAAGCCGAGCATTTCCTTGCATGCACCATGCTTTCTGAAAAGCTTCCAGAAGGTAAGCAAGAAGTACCGGCCGACAGGGAATTGGCATTGGTACAAGACGGGACAAGCTTCGGGAGAGCAGCTGAGCATTCAACATTCCCACGAGCCTCCGATCTTTTCGGCACGTGCGAGAGATGACAGCGCCGTGGTCACGTTCCTCACGGACAACATCTTTCCAAAGTTTGGTGAATTGAACGACATGAGCTACGAGTGGTATGTGCTTCAACAGGACGCAGGCTCGTTCCGTGAAGTGTTTGTTTTGTTGTGCAAGATGCGCTGCATGATTGCTTGCATGGATGTAAGCTGGGGCTTGCGCTGCAAGGCTTCGTTGTGATGCTGCCAGATCCGGGCGCACATGAGTCCCTCCAGGAGGCTCAGAGACATTGGCGGCCCCTTTTCCAGAAACTGGCCCACACCTTCTACCCAAGATATTTCATGGCCTATGCATCCACCTTCGATGAAAAGTCCCTGGAGTGGATTCGGAAAGACTTCGGTATAACCTCTTTCCCAGCGGTTGTAGTCTACACAGGACACCCGCAAGACGAACTGCAGATTGTCCAGCAAGACGTCCGGGAGATGACATACGACAATTTAGCACAGTTCATCCAGGATGTGGAGGATGGTTGCATGACGTGGCTGCATCCAATCCTTACTTTTTACGATTTGAAGCCCATTACGGAGAAGGAGATGCCAACTTGCCAAATGAGATCTTGAAAGGTGCAACGTCCCAACACTTCCAGTACATTTCGTGTTTAGCCCTTTTAGCTGCTATTTTTAGCCCATAGACTAGCTCAAGACATAGAGAGAGGGCTGCCATGCTGCAAGTGTTTGGGCAACAGCTATCGTCGCAGTGATGAGTCAGCGTGTACACTAGCCAAACTCTCGCAATAGCTTGGCTCGCATCGAATGAACCAGGGAGGCTCAGATGTGCTAAAGCCAACTCATAGTAGAGTTTCACCAAAGCTGGCAACTGGAAGAGCTGCCTGATCTCCTGTTCTGCATTCTGCTTTTGGCATGACAGCTTTGGTGCGTTGACAAGGCTCCATGAGGAGAAGGCATCACCCAGTGCTCGCAAACGATGGCTGTGAGTGTACATACAGGCACTCTGTAAGTGTCCAGCTCTTTCAAGTCCAAAGCCGCGCGCTGGCAAATATGGAGACGATCGCAAAAAATGAGCATCGCGCCCGGCCACGGTGGCCAATCGATGGATCTCGGTTGCCCTGCATGAACATAGCACTCCATACAGTCTAGAGCGAAACGTCCTTGCACACATCGGCCTCGAAGGAACCACTATGCCAGCTCCCCTCGTGTCTGGAAATGACACGGCAGTTGTCAGCAACGACACCTACCATCCTTAGAATTCGATGTTGTGCTTGGAGCTGGTGACTCTGCGCATGGCAAGCTGGGCCGAGTTCTGAGCCTGTAGAAGGCAGGGCCAGTAACGAATCGTGGGATCTGGCGCACTGCTAAAGGCATGGCTGAGGACTGCGGCGCACTGTTGCCACAGGCCCGCTTTTGCCTTGCGAAGATAAGATTTTTTGTGTTTGCGAAAGGCGCCCTATGCTGGCAAATGGGTTCCGTTGATCACGTGTCCAAAGGCCTTACTCTGTTTCTTATCTCAGGCGGTCAGGCCAACAGCTGGACGATGCAGCGTCTTTTCTGTCAGGTCACAGTTGACTTTGCTTGCAAATTCGCCGGCGTCGCAGCCTTGTCTGACGAGCCGGTGTTCCCGCACTTTTGGCATCCTCCTTCGCAAAGGTTGGTCCGGATGACGTGGCATGCGATCTGGGCTGTGGATTGGGTGGTTGGTGCATCGCCGCCGCAGAGCTGCAGCCCGAGAACATCGTGGTTTTCGGCTGCTGAAGCTTTGCGGATTCAGGTGTGGAGCGAGAGCAATCGGCCTGGACATCAATCCGGACAACCTGAAGCCCCACACCTGCGCCTGCAGCTACGGTTGCTCTAGCCGCTAGCCTCGCCTGCATTCTGTAGGCAGGCGCGGGCCAGCGCTGAACACGCAGGCCAGGAGCTCATGTTTGAGAGGATGCCCAGGCACAGCTCTGCCCAAGCCCCAAGCATAACTCTGCAAAAGCCCCAAGCCTAGCTCTGAAGAAGCCTCAAGCGTAGCTTTTCCAGAAGCTCCAAGCGTCACTCTGCCCAGGCGTCGGAGATCTGCAGGGCGCTCGGGGCAGAATGGGTTTGGCCAAATCATGGCAGGAGCATCCGACCATCCATCCTCAAGCTTGACCACTCCCAGGTGTACATTTCGGGAGTGTGATTTCACATCGCCCAGCTTCTCACTGCCACGGCCTTGCTAATTCTTGATGTGCTGACATGCGCTGCAGACCAGCTGCGCTCGGAGATTCCACGTGCAATCAGGCCTGATGATGTGACAGTGTTGTTCGTGTACCTGCTCCCGTGGGCGCGAGAACCCCAAAGACTGCGCAACATCGTCCCTCATGTCTCATGTCGAGATGAAGAAGCGAATCGCTGCCGAGGCTGGAGTATTTGGAGGGCGTATTCTTGCAAGCTACGCGACGCGGTTGCCGCTTGGCCCTGGGCTTAGGCACGCAGAACCGCAGCAGCCCAGCGTCGCAAGAGTCGACGGTCAGGTGTCTTTTCAATTCCACCCTGCCAACTTTGAACCTGTCGAAGTGTCGCTGTTCGGTGGACTCAAGATGTATAGGTCTGGCCCTTGACGGGGTGAGTGGGAGTTCACAGCAGACTGAAGCCAGTGTGACGGCAGCATGCGAGGCAGCAGAATATTGGCGACATATGCGACATGCACCAAGGCGAGTTGGCCACGGTTTTGTAGCGGCCTAGTGGCTTCGTGCTTCCGATGAACTCTCTCATAAGCCTGGTACAACTCTCTGAGCACAGGTGCAGAAGCTCAAGGCCCAGATAAGGCGCGTTGAGGAATTTCCAGTTCGTTTCACTGCCGATCGAGTTGCGCCACAGGATTGTGAATCCTTCTTGCACTCCATGGACTGAGCCTGTGTGCTCAACCTGCTCGACTACCGGCCCAGATGCGCCGTGGGGTTCTCCAACTCCAGCTCAGGAGGATAGAGAACTCATGCTCGTGCGGTGGGAACAAACGAAGGGTGGTAGCAAGCCAGGCTGCTCATCGGCCGTGTTGCACATGCGGATTCTAATATGCTTCTGCCGCCCATTGATGAAGCTTCATGCATTGGATTCTGATCCTCTCGGCTCCAAACGAGTGATACGTTCAACTCGCTTTTTAGATACGGGGGCCAGGAACAACTTAGTTGCACACGATCAACGTGGGCAGACGGCCATTCATGAGACAGTATAGAGACAAGACGACCGATTGCCTGCCCGGGCAGCAGCCGAATTAGCGAGGAAGCGCAACCACGTTATCGTCATGCATAGTCCGAATGCTGGAATTGCTCTCGAAGCATCGGAGGCATACCCGATCATGCGAGCTTGAGGTGTGGCGTCCCGCATAAGTTGCTTCCCGAGGATGAGGAGTCAGCAGACAGTGCATCCGGCGGCAGGACCCTCGCACCCCCTCCACTGGTCTTGTCCACCTCTTGGTTAGGGAGCCTCCTGCTGAGCAACGAGGTGAAGAGGCCGATGGTGGCGAGGGCGAGGGAGGAGAGTCGGAGGAGGATTCGCAAGCAAGCCGATTTCTCAGACTCTGAAAGTATCCATTGGTTCGTGTCTCTATGACGCATCGCTGTGCGACCTGTCGAGATGAAGCAGCCCGAGGCGATCCGGTGGCAACGGACAGTGAGGACGGCGAGGCTGGATTAATAATGTGAAAGCGGTGGCATTTGTGAGCTTAGTCTTATCGATTTGCGTGTTGGTCCGTGTGTTGCTGCGTGTTCTGTTTAGGGCTACCTGCAGTAAGCACATGGACCACAAGTTATCTTGCGGCCGGTCCTCAACCAACAATGCAGTCAACGCAGAAGCAGTTTCCGGAAGGTGCAACAATGGAAAGACAGGGCGATTAGGGACAACATACAAATTACACCCAACGAACATACCTCGGGCAAACAAAGCTTGAGACTTAAGACTATCGCAGGTTGTGTTGCCATTGGTTTTGCATCCCTTTCCGAGGCCATGCCGGGGCAAAACATCCTGGAGCGTCGTGGCCCAAGCAGCTACTGGGTCATTGTACAGCCGCAAGACCACAAGATGAGAGGCCCCACGAGGCAGACGCGAGGCCAGCGGTTCACCATTCTGGATGGCAAGGATCGAAGGGACGACGAGGCCTTTGGCCGCTTTAGCATCGGCAGACTTGGACCCTTTTGGCCTCTTCGCTGAGGATTTCTGGGCCAACAAAGGCTTTCGTGATGCGTCCTCCGACAGTGAGTTCAATGCGCAGGAGGAAGCAAGAGCTAAGCTCGCAGAGCAACGGAGAGAGCTGCAGGTTGTTCAATGGAGTTTGTGCAGGAGTCCGATGATACGCAAGAAACTGACTTCAGCCAAGCGCAAGATGATGCCAGCGCAGAGGAAAAGGCCTGTCATGCTTTTTCAGAAGCTCAAGCCGCAGTGACCCGGGATATGCCAGGAGCCCCCAAAAGAGCCTCCGGCCGGACCCTTGTCGTCTGTCGCACGAAAAGAGTCTGAAACGTGACGGCGGTCAGGTGCGGACCAGGAAGAAGCCAGTGCTTCCCCCGAGCAGGTGGGAGTTTCAACCTGGGACCTAGGAGCTCACAGAAGAAGGATGAGCCGAAGTGCAAAGAAAAGAGTGGGCAACAGTGGCCCATCTCGCACCACGCGAACATAGGTTTTCTTTCCTCTTGCAACTGCGAACCCCGCCACTTCTCCCGAACCCTGGGATCATCGATCAATCGTGGATTCGCCTCCTCCACCATGCCACTCCAGACAAGCTCGAAAAGCAGAAGTTGTCCTGCACCAAGGATTTCACAACTGCCTGATGAACTTAAGCAACTAGGCTATTCGTGCTTGCACGGGCTTCTTCAAGCCGGCAAGCACATCTTCCAGTATAGGCTGGAGAGTATGATGAGGGATAGCAAGCTCTCAGCGCAGGGCGTTACTGCTCCAGTCACTCTTGAGTGCGCGCGCACGATGTGCTACAGCCCGTTGTGCTTCGCAGACCACCACCGGCCCCATCTGTTTCTGGACCACCAGGCCAAGTCTGATTGGCACCTTCGCATGTTACACGGTACGGTGGGTGCGTTGTGGCATCTAGAAGTACTGGCGCAAGGATCTTCTGAAGGGACTGCGCCAGCGAGGCGTCGACGGGATTGGAAGTAGTGCATCAAAGTCCGCGTTGCATATTGCAGCCCAGGCGCGTCAGGCGACGAATTCCGCAGCTGCTCCTGCGATCGAATAGGCTTGGGAACCATCAGCGTCGGCATAGAGCAAGACGGCTCACACTCGCGGAAAGGATTCTTCGCAAATCAACAATGGAGATACGAGCTCACAGAGAGCTCAAGGCACTTTCGACTCCCACTTCAGACTGGCCTTCGGCAGATCACTCGGGTTTGCGAGGCTGGCCAAGCACGTCCAAAGAGGCAAAGTCTTCAGGCCAATTGACACTTGCCAGTACTGATCGGTAGAGACGATGGCAGCTGCTCCTTGACCCACTACAGCCAGCATCATCAATGTAATAGCTAGCAGCTAGCACGTGAAATTGTAGCATAGTAATTGCTATTGGCCATTGTGAAGGAAGCAGGAGTGAGTCTAGGAGATCCGCGCTGAGAGCAGTTGCATGTGCAGAACTGTTCCGAATTAGGCATCGAGTTGGCGCGACACCTCACTCAAGCACCATGCACGGGGGCTACTGTACCACTCTGCCCAGCACTTGCGATTTCCTTGTATCTTGGTCAGCTGATCCACCCGTTGCAAGTTCAGGACTTCAACAGCCAGGCGCACAAAAACTTAAAAGCGCCCTGCATGTGATGCAAAAGTGACCAGTCTAACATGATGGGGGGGTGTCTTGAATACTCGTTCCGGGGGGGTCACCCCACGGAATAATGTTCGCAGATGTTTTTAGCATATGTTTTCAAGAGGGGTGGGGGGGTCCGGAACATTCCGGAACAATATCCGCAAGCCATCATCTTGCAACCCAGGTCCGGGTTGGACCGGGAGGGGTCATTATTTATTTGTTTTCTCCACCCCCCCTGCACCCCACCCACCCACCCACCCACCCACCCGGGCGGAACAACAAAAGGCCCCCTCCAAAAGAAAAGGTCACAAAAAATCTCCACCCTTAGGGAGGCTTTCCGGGCTTGCCGTTTCTGGGTTAGGGGTTTAGGGTTCCGCGTCGATACTTTCTACGTGTGACAGCACAGCCGTTTGACAAATCAATCACGTTGGTTCCGTGGCGGGGGCCAATCAGAGGTGCACCAGCGTCTCAGGCCTGCACGTTTTGCGTTTCCCCACCGGTGCAAAAAAAGCGAGTTCGACCAGGAAGATCGGCAAATTTGTCAGTCAAAACCTTCGCGTTGCTGTCACTAGTTAACTGGTACTTGCTATGAGGGGTCGTTGTTCGCAAGAGTTTCCGGCAATGGGGTGGTGAGGACTTGAAGGTTCAACCTGTGGGTCCACTGCGACGTCAGGAGGGGAGGCGAGAGAAGTCCGACATACCCAGCAATACCGCACCGATCGAAGCAAAGTTTGCGTGGTGCAACAGACATTCAAAATTCAGAGCTGCCATGTTGAAGCGAAGAGAGGTTACAAGGTATTCTGCACCCATTCGATTCTGCCACGGAAGTGACGGATGCCGCTGAATCTGCCTGTGCGCTCCTGACGTACGGAGCAAAAAGCAAGATGAAAGCCTCAAGCTTGACCAACTTACGAAGTACCTTCGACTCAATGCAGACAAGAGCCTCGCCCATTGTAACATCGCTGAGATGTTGCATTCGCGTCGCTATTGGTAGCTAGGTACATCACGGTTGACGCTTCGCCCGCACGTGTAGCTTTCTCTTGATGCAGACTGACCTTGGTTTGCAGGCCAAGCCTGAAGTAACACCGCTGCAGCCTCAGAGCCTTAGTTGTCACGTGAGACGGAGAGAGCGGCGGAGACCCCAGAGAAGGCCGACCCAGGAGGAGAGGCTCCAGGAGGCCGTTCGGACCGAGGCCAGTCCAGTTGGGGTCTGAGGCTTGACAGGCTCGAGTCCTCCGCTTTGGGAAGGCAAGGAACCGACAGCAGTTCCAAGAGTTGCAAAGTACCGGCCTCAGCGGTATCGGCAACGCACAATGACCGCAAACACCTAGTCGTTCCCACCACCTTCACCTTCTTCAGCGAGGCGAGGAAGATGAGAAAAGGCGCTCGTCGAAGCGAGCTCGAAGGCGAGATGTTGCCGCAAGTGGGCCGGAAGCAGGTGCCTGTCGCGCCAGGACAAAGTTCGGCGGACCACGGCTCCGCTTTGTTTCGAGGCGCACGGTGTACGAGAAAAGGGAGAGCTCAGAGCTCCAGTAGATCAGGCTGTCCGACAGCCAAGACATGGCCAGGGATGCCTGGAGCCTACGGAGCCTAGCTACAACCAGCCAAGAAAGCCTTGGTGATGCCTGCTCCTCTGAACTGGAGCTGTGATCCAGGCCATCGGGGCGCGCCCGGGTGTTGAGAGCTATGTGAAGTCCTGAAACCTTTGAAGGCTTGCTTCGGAGTTCCAAGGAAATCCCTTTCAATTCCAAGGTCGAACTGATCGATTGCGATGTGTCCGACTTCCTCAGGTTGCCGAGCACGCAACAGGCTGACTGTCAACTTGCAACACACGCTTTCTTATTTCGTCTCTCGGTCGTGTGTTGCAGAGGCCAAGCAAAGTCTATGGCGCGACTTGGAGGGAGGTGAAGACGGCAGAAGTTTACAAAAAAAACGTTTCACGCTCGACTCGCTTCTTGCCCTCTGCCGTTTGTCCTTGGTTCTCGCTGGAGGACGGTCGCAGCTTGCGGAGGCTCAAGCTGGGCCCGGGGCAATGGACAGAGCCTTTGAGGGAATGTGCTTTTGGGCACGTGATGCGTAAACAAAATGACCCTCTGGCCTCGGACTTAGAGCCGGATGGCTCCCAAAGCCGTCATCACCTGACCTCGAGTAGATGAACCAAGGCCGTTCCAGCATGTGGTGTGCCATTCTATTGCTTATCACAGACTTTTCGTTGCACCCAGATGCTCCACGGCAAACCCGGCTCTGTTACCATGCAAGCACTCTTTGGCGTTGAGAGATCTGAACCCAACTTGGCACTGCCAGGCTTACTGCTTATGGGTCCTCGCTGTTATCACTTTGGTGGTTGTGCCTTTATTCGCAACATTCGCAGCCGACAACGTGTGGGTTAAGGACTGCATTTTCATTTGGACACCAGATGATACAAGCCTGTTCCATGCCTTGCTAACAGCGTGATGCGCACCAATGCTTCGTGTCAAGACTGACCTAGTTTCGGAGTGAAAGGCAGTTTTCAATTACTTAGCGTTCTTTTGGTTGGCTCTTTAGACTTTAACTTTTTGGGTTTCTATATGAACTATAATATCTAGGCTAAAAGTTTAACTTTTAGGAGGGGTTCAGAAGTACGCCAAGATTATTCAGGCGAAACAGGGAAAGGGCTGTCGGTGCTTGTGTCTATCCGGATTGACAAACGTACATACGAAGGAGATGAGTATATATACGCTTGTGTGTGTGTGTGTGTTTTTGTTATCGTGTGTGCCTGTCTGTGTGTGTGTGTGAGGTTGATTTGTATGTTTGTTTGGATGGTTGTTGTTTGTTTGGTTGCGTGTATGTTTGTTTGGTTGTTTGTGTGTTTGTTCTCAACTGCCCTCATGTGCATTTGTGTCGCACAGTCAACAAGAAAGAGATGAAGATTCAGTTTCGCGAGGTTTCTCAACGAACAAGACCGGCTGAGTCGCAGCGATCCTGGTTGCATGATGCTAAGCTGCCCGCTCCATCCTCCCTTGCAGGAAAGCTTCTACAGGGTTCAGCCTGTGGTGACCTTCGCAAACGAGCTCTATGTTTTGATTGGTGGCAACACCACAGAAACCATGGTCGGTTGGAGTACCTCGGCAAAAACTGTGCCAGCCTTTCGGGTCTCTCTTGTGATTTGCTCAGGTACCCAGCCGCAGCTCCAAGTATTGCTTCCGAAGCAGGCAGCGACAATTCATGAAACTGGGCTTTCCTTGCCAAAGACATGATCGCAGGTGAAAGTGCCAACCGTGCGTTCAAGCACAGAGGATACGAACCGTGACGGCATTGCCGACACTTTGCAGCTGTCGCTGGACGGGTGGTTTGCATCCGTTTTCATGTTGGGCTGAAACCAGCCGGGGTTTCGATATGTGAAGCGCGAGGATTTTCCATCAGAAGGGAAAACCTACCGCAGCGTCCTCCTGTTGGCGGTCTATGACGTGCAGATTCAGGGCAAGGTGGTGCACCGATCAGACGTACGTGGCGGCTTTGGTGTTGGGCGCGTGCACTTTTTGTGAAGGTGGCAGAGCAGCTCAGCAGCCTCGTGGCGCTGGACATCTCCAGCACCTGCCTGTCCTCATTCCGCCAGCTCTGAATTTTGTTGGGTGCTTCCGAGGCCCGTACGCATCCTCGGGGCTCTGGGTCCATGGCCAGCTGTCATTCAGGCAGTCGTGTTCTTCACATGTGACACAGCTCCTCAACCTGGAAGCAATTCTGAAACAGTGGAGGCAGAAGCTGCCCTTATACCAGAGCCCTGAGGCCACTGCGTGCTTTTCCTTGGCCGTGACACTGCTGCTGCACACTTTGAGGCGCGCCAGGTGTATGCGGACAGCCCGCTGAACGTGAACTGGAGGCTCATACTGTAGTTTGATGGTTTTTGTTGCCATGTCAGAAAGAAAGCAGCCTCTAGATTTTCATGTCTTCCCAGGTCCAATTGGATTCCGGACAGGCAGCCGTTGTCGCTGGAAGAGCTTCTGTCCCGCTATGCACAGAGGTGGGTTAAAGCGGGAGCATGCGGAGCTTCGGAGGTTGTGTAGTTGAGCTTATCACAAGTAGCGCAGCTGGGGCAAACCCTTCAATTCATGCATTTCATGCTGCCAGTTCCGCGTTTATCGTGATGCTACCATGAGATGCTTCGCATGACCTCAGCCATGCATCTCTTGAAGTTGGCTAAGTGCTGGCTGACGGTTAGCATGCGACGTGTGGCCATGGCCCATGCGATCAGGACGTTTAAGTGAGCTCTTCCTTTGGCCACCTGAGTCACCTCCGGGGGGTGATGGCCTCTTCGACACCTTGGGACATGAAGAGGCGTCAGCAGACCAGACATTGAAGCAGGCGGAGCTACTGTTGGAAGCCAGCGACTTTCAGGCAGGCTGATGAATTAAATTTGCCGTGTCACTTGACAGTTGGTGTGTGAGAGACTGAGCCAGTGAGGGGCGCCGGTGTGTGAGTGATGCGCGGCTGCCGACCGGGTCAGGGTCAGGAGCCTCGCTTCATCCATCCCGTCATTCAAGCAGGCCAAGCACCCACCAGGTCACTAGGTATCTTCGTTACAAGAGATGCCAACAGCAGTGTCCCAGACAACTCGGAAAAGATGCCTCGAACAGCCGGTGCCGACCCGACTACGGGGTAACGGGTAACATAGCTTGTATCCCCGACACGTTGCAACCCTGCGTCAGGGATGTGAAGAGTTTCTGCTTGCAGAGCAAGCTGACGGAAGCGATGCGCTGCGAAGTCCTTATGCTCTACGGCTTCTGCTTCACAGCTATCGGTGCCAAGGCAAACATAGACATAGCTGGGCCAGAAAGCTGGCAGAAGATCAGTTGGCACAGCCCACGAAGGCAACGCAGCACCCAATTGGGAAGGCAATGATGCAACTCAGCTTAGCCGAGCTTGAGCTCGCGGACAAGAAGCAGGATCGCGCTGCTCAGTTGGCCAAAGAAGCCCTGGCGGTGTTTTCGGAGTTGGACATGCCGTCGTACGAAGCATTCTGCTTGCTGGCTTTGGCTGGCGCGGCTAGTGCGAATGAGAGCCACGGAGATGCAGCAGAGTTTGCCAAGGACGCCTTGGAACGCTTTCAACAGGAAGATGACGAAAGCCAAAGCACCCGCGGACTGGGAAGGGCTTTGCTGGCTTTGGCAGAGGCCGAGCAGGCTCTGCAGGACTTCGGGGCCGCAGACCGTTCGATAGAGAAAGCCCTGGAAATCTTCAAGTTCGGCAAAGATGAGGTATGGCAGGCCAATTGTCTTGTTTTCGGATGTTCATGAGGGTTGGGATGGAGGCGAGGAGGGGCAGAGATGTTAAGAACAAAAGTCTGTGTATTACGTTGGGTCTACATTTTCATGCATGTGACAAGGTTCCCAGAGCAAGTCGCGACCTGCTGCATGTGCGTATCGTGCAGGATTACATTCAGGGTTGACCCGAGCCGCAGATTGAAATCACCGCTGCAAGGCTTTCGTTCTTCAGATGAGGGCCGGCTGGTCCTACAACCAGGACCTCGGCCATTCGTTCTCGCCACAGAGATGCGACGTCTCGGGTCGCGCAGCTTGCAAAAGCCAACGAGGACGACCCATTCCGTGCAGCAACGTCGGCAGAGGCACATGAGTCACATGAAGAATTCTTGTGATGTCGTCTTTCGTCGTCCTCATAACGGATGCGGCCGAGCAGGCTGCCATGCATCTCTGGCAATCCAACGGACATCCACTGTCCAGAGAGGCGGGGGTGTAGAAGCATAGAAGCTTCTCCGAAGTGCCTGGAGCAATGGTCAGGCAGAGCTTGCTGAGATTGCCTGTTCAGCCTTCCTTGTATTGAACCAGCCGGAGGCGAAACTGTTCTGAACCGAAAAAATCACAAGGCCTCTCTCTACTGGCGAAAGCCTTGAAGCAGGACGCCATGAAGCCAGTGCGCGCTTGCCTGTATCGGGCCCGGATGATGGGCGACAGGCTAGCCAAGTTGCTGTCGTGTCAGATCGTGCCAGATCGATACAAGCGCAGGACCATCGAAGGTCACATGCTGTATGTCACAATTCATGTGAGCAAGGCCAGAGCCCCGGCGAAGCTTTGCAAAGGACTATGAGTGAACACGGTGCCAGGTCTGGGGAGACATCGAAGGTGCCATCAAAGTGGCTGACAAGTCATGGGAGGTCTTCCATGAACTTGAAAACAGGCGCATACACGGCCATGTCACTGCCTGTAGCTGTAGCTGTTGGTGCTGGAGGAACCGGTCAGTATCTATCCGTCAATTCATGAGGAAAATGGAACTGGCCGTGCTCCGGGCCAAATGCGATGTCCAACTCGCAGGATATTCCGTTGCATCGGCTCTGTGGCAGACGCCAACCTTGGCTTGTCTGCAACCGCCAGGACCCACACCGGATCCTAAGGCCCTCGACACGGCCAAGCAGGCGAGATGTGGTGCAGCCCTTTTCCTGCTCTGCAATGAATTGGGTGTAGGCTGTGGCCTGCGCTGAGCAGCTGGATCAGCTAGACTGCCAAAAGGCTCCTTGCGAACTGCCTCGGGGGAACTCCTGAGCCTTTCTCCGCGCCAGGACGAAGAGCTTGGCAATGCGTGGCTGCAAATGTCCCGGTTAAGAAATGCCAGGGACGAATCAATAAATGCCCAAAAGGCTGGGGATCAGGATGCTTGCTCCGTGGTACGATGCCTCGCAACTCAGCCAGGCATTAGAAACGGCCATCCAGCGTTTCGAAGCTGCTGGAGAAAGGCATCGGGACCTCTCCGGGCAGCACCAATTCAGTCTTTCACGATGCCAAAGTCAGGAGACGGGCTCTAGAGGCAGGACTGGAGCTGGCAGGCCTCAGCGCCAAGGTTCAGGACTTCCGCGCATGTCATACGCAAACCAATCTGCCGGTTGGTGTGAGAGAGCATGCGGTGCAGGACTATGCAGCTGCTGTTGACATGGCAAGAAAGGCTGCGTCTGAATGCGCTGTGCGGTTCGTGCCCCTTCGCAACCAAAATCACAAAGGTGCAATCGTTGTGTCGCAAGCAGAACGACATCAAGGCTTGCAGAGAGATGAAGCTACAAGCAGCAGAACTTGTGGAGAAGCATGGCTTTGCATGCCTCAGGGCGAAGCATCTGCACTGCTGCTAATCGGAGTGGTACAGGGCCTTGGATTTCTCTACTTCATTGCCCAAGTGCCGTGAAGGGAAAAGAGAACTGGTGGAAAAGGTGTTTCTTCAGCGGCATGACAACCTGGAAGCTTTGAAAGCCGCAGAAGAAGCGTCGCACACCCAACCAGAAAGCCCCCTGCTGTTAGGACCCCCAAGACCCCAGAACTTCGAGGTCGGAGCTATTCCGACAAGTGGGTGACAGACGTCAAGAAGCCGAAGCCCTTTTCCTTGTGAGTGAGGCGGGCTTACCCTTGTCAGGGGTTTTATCAGTCGATCGAACCAAAACCGCGCAAGGCTGGGCGGCAGCACTGCAAAATGTTCGTATCTTATCAGCTAGATGCTACGCACTGCTACAAGATCATGAGCCAGTATCTGGAGCCACCATTGAAGGCCCAAAGCAACGGTGGCCAAACATCGGATCTACTTCGGTACAGCTTTGCAGGCCAAGCACTAAGTTCCGCAAGCGCTACCAACTCATTGGCTTGCAAGCCTCGAAGGCGGCGAAAGATGCGATGGCACTTGCAGAGCGGCTAAGCCCCGTCTAGTGACTAGTGCAGTTCACCCTATTGAGTGGCGGGGGCTTGTTCCATGAGCCAAGGCATCTTGGCGATATCTTCTGCGCGCACGCTTACGTGTATTTGGCCCAAATCCAGGTCGAACCTGGACTGATGCTGCGCAGCTCTACAAACTAGAGACGGTATCATTGACCATGCCACGAATCAGTGCATCCAACAACTGCCTGCGAACAGGTCCTCTCGGGACCGCTCCTGCACGATGCGCTGAAGAACGCCCAACAGGTGGCGATGCTTGAATGAAGCATCTTCAAACTGTGGCAAGATTTTGAAGAGTGCTGCGAGGCATCTGATCTTTTCAGCTACTTGGGACATGCAGCTGACACTGCGTGGAGTCTGGAACTGCCCGATCCTTTGAGATGGTATTTGTGACGATCGGCATGGTTGCAGTAACTCCCAAGAAGGCAAGCCTCGGCGTTTTTTTACATGCAGAATCCTGCTGCAGCCGTCCGTACCTCGAAAGCGCTACACAGTATCATGATGTCATCCTCAATCGGGCTTCACGACGGCTTCTGATCCATCCGCTGTCGACAGGTCGAGGCCTATGACAAGGCGAAGTTGGCGTATGCCCAGGCGCTGGTGCTTCAGTAACAGGTACTGCCTGGAACAGTCACAGTACATGTGCGGATCAGGCCAAGGATCCAACGAGCCGATGCCTCATGTGCTTGAACATCCCAGGTATGAAAGAATCACACCGGCGGTTGTCAATGCCCGCATGGTGTGGCCAGGCGTACGGCGCTGCGAGGAGTGCATTCTCCAGCTTGAAGCTGGGCAAGCAGCGACGGCAGCCTTCTCAGAGCACGGTGTCCTTGCGACCTGTCTCCGATTCCAGCTCACGCGCTCACGCTCAGGAGACCAAAGGGTCGATCGAGGTCAAGCAGGCCAAAACGAAGCCGGGCGACTGGAGCTGAGTAGTGAGATGTGCAGGAAGCACCGCAGCTGCCGCCGTCCATTCTCTCGTTGCCAAAGAGAGAACGCAGGGAAATCAAGGCAAGGAGCCGCAGCAGCTTACCGCGCAAGTGGTCCTGGGACCAGGATCCGATGTCATTGCAGGGAGAAGAACGAGTGATGGCGCAACTGGCCAAGATTCTGGAGGCAGCTTTGCCATGCTGAGTCTGACGATACGCGTTTCCACGTCTTTGTCGTACTCGTACGTTTGGGTGGAGAGCGGGTGTATACAGAGCATGTTGTGTAGGCACGACATGATGTCCCAGTCCTATTGCTGCGAATAACTTGCGGGAACTGCTGAATCTGACCCGCAAGACAGCCAACAAGAAAGCAACAGACTGATGTAGGATGACAAGAGGACAGGCGGTTTCCTGAATCAGCTCGCTTCTTCCAATTCCAGGACTTGGGCGTGGAGGACGTCCATGACGACGACGGATTGATGTCGTCGGGATTGACCAGCAGGTGGTTGGCTGTCTTGCAATCACGCCATGGGCTTGCAGTTTAGAGCTGTGTTCGACCAGCTCGGGATGTGGGTGCAGTGCAAGTCGCAGTCCCCAAAGCAGATATCCCTCGTTGACCGAGTTGATCGTCCATCAATGCTGAAGGTGGGACAATTGCCCACTAGACATTTTTTTGTACCATTGAGTGGCAATCGTTGGGCAACGGGGCTGAGCAGATCCGTGCGGGAAAGTGGCGTCGAAGGTTTCATCTCTGTCGGAGCTGCCCTGGAACACTCGTGAGCACCTAGTCAAAGCCTTTTTGTCGCAACATCGTGAACATCGTGCTAGAACACTTCACTTGGTAACACGGCACTTCAGAGACTTGCCCCATTGAAAAACAAAATCGAGCCCCCCCTTTGCTTCTGATCGAGCACATAACTTTTTTGTTGCTGACGGCGGGGCATTGATAGTTGAAGCTGCTCTCTGCAGGGCGGCCATCCAGCTCAAAGGCGAGATGGAGCAGGCATTCGCAGGAATCCACATCCCCTCCACGGTCGCCTTTGACTATCCCAACATCAGGCAGGAACAGTATTTGCGAAAATAGACATCTTGACGTGGCGGCGTTGAAAACACTGCTCTTGCCCAGGTCGCTGTCAAACTGGATAGCGGGTAGCATTGGGGAGGCAGAGCTTGCAGGATGACGTGAGACGCGAGATTTTGCAGATGGTCATGGTGGAGTAGCGAGCCGGCACTCCGGGCCCACGAACTCTCCCTGCCTGCAACCGCGACACCGAAGAAGTGCCTTCGTTTCAAGTGGGCATTGGGACGCGCGGGCCTGGTCTGAGAATGGATTGAAAAGAAGTGCTTTGCTCACAGTCTCTGTCTCTTGTGGGCCTGTGCCCTGAATGCTTTTGCAGCTAGCAGGAATGAAACAGTGATGTTTGAGCCCCTGGCCCCTGGCCAAGATAACAGGGACTGCTTGATGTCCGTCTTCCCGGAGTCGTAGATGAAACTTGTCCAGACTGTCAGGTCCCTCCCATGTGGGACTACACGCCTGCATCTCATGCCTCTCAGAAAGCTTCGTGAACCCCTGAAAACTGTCCCTTCTCCCAGGCCCAGGCAAAGTTTCCGAATCCAGGCTGGAGCTTCAGTGCTGCGGCTATACTTTTGTGATGCTGCAATGTTCAGATGACGATGGATGTGCACCCACAGCTGGTCTACTACGTACCTCTGGCCTCAGAGGTGCGCGGCCCAGTCACGGCACGATACAGCACCGATCAGTGCTTCAAGAGGGACATCTCACGTCCATTCTGGCGAGGGGTTTGCACGGCGGGAGAGCGTGAACAGCATGCATCATGCTGCTTCAGGGTAGCGGAGAGTGTTCTGTGCTCCACCCGTTACCACTGACTGTGCAGAGCAGACGCTTGAAGCAACACGGTTGATTGTTTTTCTGCGGTGTTGCCCTAGTGCCGAATCGAAGACGCGTCTGTCAAGGCGGAATCGGTCCAAATCATCCGATTCACGATCGGCACTTGAAGAATCCGTGACTACTGTTTGCGAAGGCGAGGTTCAGCAAGAATTTGCCAGGGTCCTCTTAAGCTTTGTCGAACGTGCTACAATGCAAAGAGACTTGTGAGTAGACTTGTCGCTGTATTGGTCATTCTTGTCCTCTCGAGCAGAGTTCAGCACCACGGATTGTCGTTGAAACGAGGTCGGCAAAGTACGCTGTAGGATGTCCACTGACGAAGCCTGGCGAGGATTTTCCAAGTTCTTCTTGAGTTAGCGCTGCCTTTTCTTTCTGTGTCCGCTGCAGCGGCTGACTCGTCGAGGGAGAGAGCATTGGCAGAGCTTCTGTAGCTTCGAGGTTTTGAAGCTGGCGTGGGTGCAAGTCCTGGCATTCCTGATCCCAACCTGGGTGGTGGTGGAGTGGCTCAAGGCCAGGCTGCTGGAGTTGCAAGGCCTTGTCCGACGGAGTGAAGATCACCTCTTGCAGCCGTGTTCAAGACACAAGTTAGTCCAGTGACAGTGATTTTCCCACGCTCGCAACAGACGTTAAAACTGCTTAAATTTCTGCAGGCATTGGCCGAGCCTTCGATGCCCTGCCCCATTCCCTACGCCTGCAAGCCAAGCCATAGCCCAACTCTGCAGACACAAAGTTATCGACTGATTCCAGACCAAGCTTCAGCCGCAATGTCTGGTGAGTGACGCCGAAGTCGCTGCAATGATTTGTTGGAGGTGCATTTCGTCACGGCCTTCGAACGACTGTAAGAAGAGCTCAACTGCGCCAAGCCCATGACTCTGAGATCATGCAAGTCTCCGGGAATCTTTGCCGATGTTTTTGCGGAAACGGTTGGCAAGCTGGGAGCCCAGAGAAGCGATCGAGAAAGAATTAAACTTGGAGGTTGGCTTAGACTCAAAAGTTATTGTGGTAACTTGACAAGATCGTGGTATGTGAGGTCGAAGCAGAGGATGATCGACAGTTCGGCCTGGGGCAGAGTATCTTGTGCAGGGGGTGGAGCTCGTGGTGTGCTGCATGGTGCAGCATAACACCACGCGCATGTTGCATCAGGTTCGGTTTCAGTTGGACTTGGAGCTATCTCTTCTTTGGACTGCCCAGACGATCTGCCAGAGGCGTGGGACTCGGAGTGCGACTGCTGCACACAGCATGGCGCAGTAGTTTATCGAAGGCTACTGTAATCTGGGCTGAACCAGTACAACAACAGGAAAGAATGTGTGGGAACAGAAAGAAGTCCGTGACAGGTGTCTGGCATGCTGTCATACAGCGCAGAAGAGGCCCCTGTTCACGGTGTGCAGAGGTTTGTGTCAGTTCGGTTTTCTTGGGTCATGACTTTGTGTTCTTCTGACAGGAGCTGCCTATGCGACGCCGCCTCAGCTTTTTTTTGCAATTTCTTCACCACTACTCGTGGAAGTAGGGCAAGTCTTCTTCAAAATCGAGGCGGCAAGCCCATCCGCGAGGGCGAACTGTGGCATCTCTCCACGGAGGCCGCAAGGGCTGAGTGCACTGTTGCGGGTGATCTTAGGCAGCTTCGAACGCGGCAGGATGTCGTGCGGAAAGTGCATGTATCACTCTTCATAAACGGCTTGTCCGTGTCTTTCGAGACAAAGAAGGTGGGGAAGTTGTAAGAGGTTCGCGTGCAAATGACGGGGCAACACTGCCAGGTGCTCGTACCGCTTTCACCCTTCACTTTGGCACGTGCCTGAGACATCTTTGCCAGAGCGGTTTGGGCAAAGGCTTGCAGCTTCAAGCTCCTGAGAGCTGCAGAAGATAACCGACAGCGTTGCTTCTAATTTATGACTGGCATTCACGACGGAAGAGAGCCCGCAATGGATAAAATCAGAAACGCTCAAATCGGCTGTCCGGTCAGTCGACAGACTGTCATGTCTCAATTCGCACGATATGAATGAGCGCAAGCCCCACCCACGGCAATGCTTTCAGATCGTGGGCTGACAAGGCAGGCGAGAGAGGAGGGCTCTGCAAAATTACAAAAGCTCAGAAGATAGCGCCGGACGGAGCCGCTTCAAGTCCCAAGCAAGCTGTTGTGCCACTCGGACGGTGAAGGAGGCAGCCGCGACATCGCCCACATCACACAGAACTTGTGCTCCTTCCATGGCTCCACCGGTTCCTGGAAAATAAGCAACCTTGCATCCCCTTGAAGCCTTCGAACACCGACAAGATTCGGGACCGTCACGAATCCGTTCGGGACAACACGATTGATGGTGACCGGTCGAGCAAAACTCGGAGTGTGCGTGTGCGACTGTCGGAAGAAAGTAGCAAGCAGAGGAGCACTCGGCCACCGACCTGTGCTTCGCTTCGGCAATCTGCATCCAGAATTGCATCGACCGGAGAAGCTGGGTTCCCCCCCTTCCCGGGTCCCTGCATGGACTGAGGTTCGGAACTGTAAATTCCAGGCTGCTTCCTTTGACGTCAAGGCATTGGCGAGATGACAAGATTCGCAGGAGAGCTTCGGCTTCTGGGCCTGCCTGCAGGAATTCGCGGACTTCAAGATCTTTAAGGCAGATGCTTTCGTAGAATTCCTACGGCCTACGGTGCTTCGCCACATGGCATGGCATAGAGGTGTTAACTTGGGAGTCGAGGTGCATCTTCACGCAGCCAACCGATGCTACTTTTTTGGCGTGCGTGGGAGCACTTTACTTGAAGGCGCACCAGAGCAACGATGTGTCACTCTTTGGCCGTGTATACCTTTGTGAAGTCGACCATCTCGCTTTTGAGTTGCATCTTGTTGCCAGGTGAGGAGGTGCGAGCGGTGACTGGAGTCCATGCAGGGGGCTTGGTATCCGGGTCATTTGTTGAATTTGTTGTGCCAGGAGCGGTCCAACTGGGTTAGCGACATTTCAACTGCAATTCGATTGGTGACCCAATCGCTCTTCCCACCGTTCCGCATTGCGTCGTGGCCTCACTGTGGGTCAGGGTTTGGACGGCTTTTTGGAACTAGCTGCTGGCTGGCTCCCAGCTGTGCAGGTGCAACCCATTGGCGACCGTGGTCACTCAGCGAAGTCGTCGCAGCCCTGTTCTCTTAATGAGGTCCTCAGCTGCCTACTGAGGATGGCACACAAAAGCGACTTCTCGCTGGCTATTTGCTGCACAGTGTCGGGGCCTGTCAGCATGTCACAACTGTTATTGTGCTTCTTGTCTCGCCTCGTTGATCAAGCATTGTCGAAAGCTGTGATTTTCTCGAGGACAGTCCGTGCCTCGTGTCTGCCCTGTACTGCGAGTTGCAAGCACACAACAACGGCAAGGTGCTGGTTCAGGGAAAGACTTGTGCCCTGTGATGGGTGTGGTTTGCCAAGTTCACCTACGAAGGCGATGTTTGTGCTCTACGAGAACGAGAACTGCAAGGTTCCGACGCCGCGCTGCTCGCCTAAAACAACTGGAGCGTGGACTTGCAAAGCAGAGGTCCCCGTCAAAGCGATGGCCCTCACAGCAGACTCTGCAGTGGCAGAGAAGGTGCGGAGACTTCGTTGGCACCAAAATCTCTGCTTGTGGGTGCGGCTCATGATTTTGCCAGCTTGGCATCAATTGCAGCTGCTTCTCTGCCTGGGGCCTCAAGGAAGATTGTTGGCAAGAGCCAGTGCCATGTACATGGGAAATGGTAGTGTTGGTGACACTGTCATTCGATCAAAAAGTGATGCTGAAAAGGTTGATCAACGGGACTTCAGCAGCCGGACACTGTCAGAGAGGCTGCACCTGCTGCGGCAGTTTGTGTACGTTCAGTATGTTGCTTCACAGATGCAGGAAGCTTTGGCTGCGTGCTATTTCCAATATCAAAGTGAAGCTTGCCAACGCAGTGCTTCGGATAACTTGGCTTCACTGCTTTCTGTTACGACGACACACTGGAACTTCTTGTGATGTCGTCCGAGCTGCTTTCTGCTAAGGCTCCAACACCATCGTCTGAAGACTTAGAGCACTATCGCCAGGCTTCTAAAGCCATCTAGCTGGAAAGGCATAGTTTGAGCCGCTGCGGAGGCTGTCAAGGAGCAGTTGCATCAGCATGAGACTTACTGGGAATCGCTTCAGCCTGCAACGGATCTGCGTGACCTACCATTTGGCGGCTAAGGATTCGTACCTCTTTGCAGTGCAAGATACGCACGGATGCACTCCTCCCTCCCAGCATTCACAACACTTTTCAGGTGCCGCGCCATCTGGAAAAAGGATTCATTCCAGTCCAGACACGACATTGTACCGACCCAGTCGACCGTGTCCCCCTTCAACATGGATCTGTGGGCTGAGATTTCAGGCCACATTCCAAAGCGCGGAGGCACGGATCTTTGTAGGAAGCTGTTTTGAAGAGGTTGCCACCACGGCCACGAGGAGGACGAGGGTGAGTCGGTCTGCGGGCTTATTTGACCAGCTTCAGTCCTTCACCATTGAATCCTCGAGAGATTTTGTTTGAGGTCCCCGCCGAGCGGTCACCTGCATTGTAAGCGGGGAAGTGGGTCTCGGGGATCCTCTTCTCCGAGTCCTGAATAAAAAATAAATAGCCGAGTCGGCACAAGACGTGCTGACGACGAGGGCGTCCCCAAAGTGGGGCAGTGCTGCAGCATCATGCGCAGTTTCCATGCAGAGAGACAGAGAGCGAGACAGATAGAGCTGTGGGACATGATAGGGGAAGCACACAAGCGATGGTGCTCGTTACGTGGAACTGAACTGGGGTGCAGGGTATCGCCTTCGACCAGCGACTCGTCGAATCGCCATGACCTCTGTTCAGATGAGAGAATGAAGCTGGAACTGTCCTTGGCTCAGGTTCGTTGTTCCGCAGCTGCCGCCGAAACATTCGTAGTTCAGTCTCATGTTGCAGGAATTCGCGGTGACGCGGATCTTTGACAGATTAATTCGCGCACGCTGCCTGGTGAAGCCGCCTACCTGTTTGATATATGCGAATGCTAAGTTTCTCTTTCGCGTTTCAGGAAACTTTTTATGTTTTGATATCGGAGCTTTAAGTGGTTGGGGACAGGATGTTTTTCCATTGAGGAAGACAGAGGATGAAATTATCATGCTCCATTGGATTAAAGCAACACGGGTAGTATGCTAACAGGACAAGGGTACTGACCTAGAGCCGAAAAATTAGCAAAACTTCAAAACCTTAGTATCTACATAGCGATTTTTCGTAAAGATGAGAAAAAGATGATGAAAAATCTGTTCCCCAAATAAGAAACATATATATATATATAGAAAACACACACACACACACATATATATATATATATCAAAATATTTTTTAGTTTCATCTAGTTAAGCAAATGTAAATCCCGGTCCCCCTTTCCGAAAAAATCTTGAAAATTTCTGAAATGAGAAGGAATTTTGATTTGAAAACTATCAAACACAAAACAATTTCCATATTTATGTGCCATGGACCTTTTTTTAATAGTTTGAGACAGCCTCTGGTTGAATCGATAAGATTTCATTCATCCTTTGTTCATTATGTTTTTTCATAAAATGCAGGTATTTTGGATGAATTGAAAAGAGGAGTAAAAATAGAAATAAATGAATAAGATAATTATGAAAAATATATATATATATATATATATTCATTATTTCTTCATTTCATTATCTATTAGATTCTTTCATCTTATATATTATTTTTAGAATGAAAAATGAAGAAATATTTTCATTAGATTATTTAATCGGTGTTAAATTTAAAAAAAAAAGCAAGAGATTTAAATAAAGAATAATAAAGGAATAAATATATATTATATTAGGATTTAAATAGATTTTGTCTTTAAATGAAAATTATTGGCTAGAGAATTTTAGGAATAAATTATATAAGAATATAAGAACTATTTCAATTCTCATAAATTATTTCTTGGATATATTTTTTCATATAAGTTCTAAGGAGTGAAATACATAATTTTTTATATTTGAAATACAAAATGAAAATTGAAGCTTTAGTATAATTTATTCTATATATTATATAAATATTCGGATTATTCTTTGAAATATTTTATATATATATAACATTTAGATTATAAATAAGATTCTCTAATAAAACGGTGTCGTGCCGCTTGCGTCCATGTTTTTGTGCGCACCTTGGCCCCCCTGGAATGCAGTCGTTTGCGGCATCTCTTCGTGGAAGCTCTTGCATGCTTGTCTCGAGCTACTAAAATCCTGGAAATTTTAGTGCCGCGCGCACCTCTCTCCCGGCTCTAAAATCTCGGAGATTTTGGTAGCTTTAGGAAATCTCGCGGTCTTAAAATCTTCCAAATTTTGGTAGCTTTAGGGTAACATTATAACATTCTCCCGGTAATAAAATCTCGGAGGTTTTGGTGCAGGCACAAATACCTCGGGCTGCAGCTTTAAGAGGGCGGGGCCTCTTCGGTGGTTTCGGGCTAGGCCCAGTCTTTTAAGTTTTTGGAAAATTTGGGCGATCCGGCTTCTAATGTCGTATGTTCCAAATGCAGAACATGCGTTACAGCCATTTTGTAGTCT